GGGGGGGAAGGTGGGGGGAGGAGAGGGGAGGGGTATATGAAGAGAGAGAGAGACAGAGAGAGTGAGGGGAGGGTATAGGAAGAAAAAGGAGGAGGAGGAAGGCGGAGAGGGAGGGATGAGGTGAAGAGAGGAGAGTTGTCCTCAGATTGACCCACAGCAGCACCAGACAGCCTCAGCCTACCCCCCCTCCTCTCTCTCTCTCTCTCTCTCTCGGTCTATATCTCTCCGTGCTCGCTCGCTCTTTGCTGCGTAATCGGCTGAAAAAAGGAAAAAAAAGAAAAAGAAAAGCATGGCCGGGACGCCAGCACTCTTAAAAACCCTCTTGTGAAAAGGTTCAGTAAGGAACCCGAGTTCAGCTCAGTCCCAAAAACACTATTTCAACTTTTTATACTTTATTTTAATATGGAGCTCCTGTAGTCCTGTAGATAGCTTTCGGTGTGTTTCCGTCTATTTAGGACACTTTTTCTATTTCTGCATAAAAAAAACTTTTAAAAGGTGTTTCTTAAGTTTTTAATGTCGAGTTGGAGAAGTTTGGTAATAAAATGGAAACAGACGTCAAGAGCTGAAACCATCAGGTGTGTTCAGCATCGACAAAAGTTTATTTAAATACAAAGGTTATGATACCGTACACCTATGAAACACCCGTCAAATGAGAGCAAAACACACCTGAAAGCCCGCTGCGCACCGCTTCAAGGAAACACATTGTTGGACCTCAACGTGGCCCAGATCTGTGTGGAGATTAACCGGCTCGCATCGGTGCATCGGCATCAAAGCTCAAGCTACGATACATGAATGCATTCCTCTATAACTGTTTCTCAAGCTGCTCAAGAAGAACTAAAGACATAAAATCAAACTATGTGTATCATATTCTTCTGCATCGTATCGCGTTGAATAACAATAAAGCTGAATTGTATCAAATTGATTGTTTTATACGCATGTTTAATGTATCGGATCGTTGGCAATGCACGGAGATGTGAATGGCCTCAGTGTTGGACACAAACATTGATGTATTAAACATTTAGGCAGCGCTGTAAAATAACCTGTAAATGGTTATAAATCTTCTTAAGAATGGACGTATTAAAACTTTAACTTACAGTTTGTGCTACAGTTAAAAGGAATATGTGGCAGATTGAGGGGGACAACATGGTGAGAACATTTCCCACCGCTTAATGACCTTGTGACGCTGGTGTAACTAATCACACCGGATAATATTCAGCGCTCCATATTCAGTCCCTGACATCAGTAATCGAGGATGGGTTTCGGTGAAAGACACAGGGGCAGAGGAGAGACAGGTGAAGTGAAGTTGCTAGTCGGACTGTAAACAATGTGTGAAAGAGAAAGTCTTTGGCCCCGAATATCCGTTATTAGGCACCGAAACAGTCTGTTGTTGCCTCCAGAGGCGAAACTGTCATCAGACGATAGCCAGTGAGTTCTGAGATTGATATAGTTTGAATTAGCTTCACCTTTATCATATATATCAATAATTATGTTAATAATCCAGTGTGTAACATTTAGGAGGCAGAAACAGAATATTATATCCATTGGTATGTTTTCATTAATGTATAATCAACTGAAAATAAGAAGCGTTGTGTTTTCGTTACCTTAGAATGAGACGTTTTTATCTACAGACGCAGCGGCTCCATGTTGAACCACCATGTTTCTACATTAGCTCAGAACGGACAAACCAAAGCTGAGCTGTATTCAGTTAGTTACAATCTGCAACTTCACCACTAGATGCCACTAAATCCCAAACACAGGTCCTTTAAAGATGTTTAAGTACCAACGTACACAGAGGAACCTCAACAGGTTCAATGTGGAACCTCTTGTCTTTAGAGCGTGCTGCCAAGATGGAGAGTGCGTGTGTGTTTTTGAGTGTGTGTGAAGCATTAAACTCGAGATTTAGTCCTCATCGACCTGCCGTATAGACTCACTCACACTCACTCACACACACGTGTACAGCACAGTGTGAGTGTGTGTGCGTTGGTAGAAGTAGGTCAGTAGTGAAAGGGTTCTCGACTGTCCTCACACGGCCTCTGTTCGGCCCGTCACACCACTCGTGTCGACTCTAATTTTCTCTTCCTCATCCTCCTCCCCCCCTCCTCCCTTTCTCTCTGCTCTGATTAGGAGGGGAGCAGGTCCCACCCCTGGTTCAGACGGGTCTTGTGCAGGTTAACTCTTCAGCTGCCGTCTCCCTCCTTTTGTTTTTTCATTATTTTACCCCCAAAAACTGCCATTTTTTTAACCTCCCGCGAGGCCGGCGGTCTGCTCGTGTTTTCACAGTGGCCCCAGCCAGGCCATTTGCGGCGTGTAACTGGTGTTTTTTGAGGGAGACCCGACGCCACAAAATGGGGCAGAGCTCGGTGTCGCGAAGGACATGAATCAACCTTTTTCCCCCTGATGTTTTATTCACCAACGGAGGCAGAAAGAAAAAAAGAAAGAAGCACTGGAAATAAAAACCCTGAGAGTGGCAGCAGGTTTCCAGCCAGTGAACTTCCAGGAAGGCTGGATAATGCCCAGATCTGTGAACAAATGGTGTATTACCTAACCCCAGCCAGCTTTACATGATTTACAGTAGAGGCAGGAGAGGGCGGGTGTCTGAGCTCACACTGCCATCTGCTGGGGGAACGGAACAACAAGAAGACGAGCCTCCTATTTCACCACACGGACGAGCCCAAAACGCCTCAACATGGCTCCCGAAAACGCCTCTGGCAACCTCACGGTCAAATTCACCCCCGAACCAGGACCGAGTCTAACCACAAAACAGCCCCCAGAATGTAAAGCTCAGCAGAGAAAGGTGGAGGGGAAGTATGCAAAGGCAGCCGTTTGAATCTGGAGGAGAACAGTATGTTCCCTGGACTGGTTACACTGGTTTCTATAGTGCTGCTGGTTTCTATGGCGTTTCACCAGGCTCTCTTGGCGACGGTGTTGAATACCTTAAATGATTTAGGCCGGTTCACCGAGGATAAAAAAAACACTCGCTCAGCGTGGGAACAAAAAGTGTTCGAACAGGAAGCGATTTAAAGGAAGGAGAATATTTCTGTAACGTTTCACAACAAGAAATATCTTTTAACTCTCAATGTGGGATATTTAACCTTTTATAGAGTCACCGAGCAGAGGTCAGAGGTCAGACATCAAACAATTAATGGAGCAAAGGTTCCTCCAGTAAATTTAAAGCTGCAGTGCAGTGCTTTTATATATATAAATGGACAGCTGTTACCAACACTTGCCAAACGAGTTCAGACACCACCGATAAAGATCACCGCTGGGTAGATCGCTCTGAGGTTTAACTCTGCCGTCTGTTGTCAGTTGATTGTTAATTCTTCATTTGGAGACTTTTTTAAAGCAAATACTGAATTAAGTGTTTGTTTGTGATTGAATGAGCATTTATTGTCCAAAAAGACTTCACATAAACTAACGTGATAAGTTTTGTGAAATTTGAAACGTTTTCTACAATTTCCTGTAAATAAAAGACATAAACAAAACTGATGTAACCGCTAATGTTGTTTCCTTTTATATGTATGTTACTTTATTTAGCTTGTTTTTGTTTGATTAGTTTTATTAATGTTCAGATTATGTCTGTTTGTTCCTGTTATTTACCTTATTGTCCTCCTTTAATAAAGAGAACGTTAGAATAAAATAATAATTTAATTATTAATTAATTTGAACGTCTTTGTTTTAAATCACATTCTGACTAAATGTTCAGTGTGGTTTGAATCTAAAATTTAATTAATCTACACTTTGTTCTAACCTGCAGTGAAGAGCTCATCAGGAACTCACTCCTGCTCTCGTTGGTTTTTGATGCCACGTGTAGTTCCACTGTCACCGATTCATTTCTCTGATCAGATTCACATATTTTTGCCGTTTGGAGCCGAAAAACTTGATGTGAAAAGATGAAGAAAAGTCTTTCAGATCAACAGCCGTCATGTGACCTCTGCGCCATGTGACCTCTGCACCCTGAGCGCTGGTCGTTAATCAGCAGACGTCTATCAGGTCATTTAATTTACACTAAAGCACGTTGGAGTTAAAACTGTTTAAAATGTTCGGTGCAGATATCAGATTGGTTCTGATGTCAAATCAATACTTTTCTTTGAAGGATATGAATGTGATTGTTTTTATTGATTGACTCATAACGCAGGAGAACGGTTCATTAGTTTTTTTAGATTTAGTTCATTAGTTGTCAGTTATTAATTACCAACTATTTTAAAAATGTATTATTAAACACATCTTTTAATGTCTTTTGAAACACAAAAGATTTCCTGTTTTTTTTTTTTGCTTTAAATGATTGTAAACCGAGTCATTTTCATTGTTTAAACAGTTTGAATCTGAAGTCGTCACATCGGGCTCATTTTCCCTCACATTTTATAGACTTATTTTATAAACGACTGTACAATTGTCAGATTAATCAATAATTAAAATAACTGTTAGTTGCAACTTTAATTCAGTTAATGATAAAACAATCCTACAAATAAACCGCAAATAGTTTTTTTCCTCCATTTTAAATGTTCATTTCCCTCTAAAAATGAGCTTATTGAAGCAAAATTAATCAGCAATAAGTTTGATTATTGATCGATTTTCAATCAAAGACAACAAACACTTGCTGGTTTCAGCTGATTAAACGGGACGATTTCCTGCTTTTTTTGTTTTATGATTATAAACTGAATGTTTTGAGGTTTGATGGTAAATATTTACAGTGAATACAATTTTAATATTGATTAATCTGCTCCTTATTTCTACAATTTATAATTTTATCCATAAAATGTCAGAAATAAGTGAAAGATTTATCATTTCCCAACAAAAAAGCAGCAAATCTTCACACTGAATATCTGCCGACTGATTTTCTGATAATTGATAATTGTTTGATGAAGTTGAGGTATAAAGAAGCATTAAATATAAATACTCAAGTACAAGTACCTCAAATGTGCACTTACGTACAGTATTCGAGTAAATGTACTGGATTACTTTCTGTTCTGTGTAAAAGAATAAAAGACCCAGCACCTGAATCCAACCGGTTTTTTCACGTTTTATTTTTTGCTTGCAGACAAAAAAAAAAAAAAGATATCCATGAAAGTCCAGATATAATAAATAAATTAACTACTGAAAACTGTCGGCTATTAGAGCAGTTTAAAGGCGGAAACTTTACAGAGCTCGCAGCAGGATCCCACGTCGATGATGAGATCGTTTAAAAAAAAAAAAAAAAAACCCAAAGAGTTTGCCGCCGCTCGAAGCCGCTGATTGTTCTCTGATGTTTGCATATTCTAACAGAGTCCTACGTGGTTCAGTAAACACAGGAAGAGAGAGCAGAGGAAAGCAAAATAAAAGCTTATTACTTCTTTTTTTTTGTTTTTTTTTACCCCCACATATGAAAAGTTAAAAAGTCCCCGCGGGAACTGAGCCAAGTGCTTGTGGTTTCTTTGTCCCTAAAATATCGTCTGTTAACTCTCGTGGAAAACCTGAAAGATATTGTTTACTAGTTCACCCGTATTTGAGCAAAAAGAAACGCACTAATAACTATGTCTTCTTTTTCTTTTTAAAGTGATTCACTTACTTTGGTGGCGAGGACAACAAAAAAAAACAAGAAACGCCATCTGAAAGACATAATTATTATTGTGTACTCGTATTTTCATGCATACAGTATTGAATTCTCTAGAAAAAGAAAAAACTGTCGTAAAAGTGTAAATGTCACAATCTTACCGAGTTTGTAGCTTAACTGACTGAGGTAAAGTTGCCTGTTTCCTGAAGAAGAGCACACATGCCTTTGTTTTTTTTTGTTGTTTTTTTTCTTTCTTTTGGACACAAGGACACAAACAGTATTTGGGTTCATCTACCGTTCAAGTCGATCAACTCTGATAATCGTCGTTTAAAAAAAACCCCAAGTGAGAAAAAGATGTGTCTAAAATGGCCGACAGGTGAGTGAAGGGTTTCCACCTGTAACCATCCAGAGCTGGACGCCAAAGGACAAATCCACCTTAAAAACAGATCATCTACTTCATGAGTTTTGGTTTCTGTTCCCACCAGATTTCCTACGTTTCCCAGAATGCCGTTCAGCCAGCCTCAGAAGACCCTTTGCAGCTGGTGTGTCTGAGTAAAGCTGGTTATGGTTCAATAGACAGCAAACACGGTTCATTCTCACTCTTTTCATTATAAGTAGAGTTGTTCTGATACCGATGGCAGAAGTTCCTCCGACGCTGCCCACATCCGATACCATGTCCTGTATGAGGCCCGTTCACCACTTTTTGTTCCCAATAAAATATATATATTGTGTATGGATTTTTTTTTAGTGCGTGTATCGGATCAGTACTCGGTATCGGGTATTGGAATCAGTATCGGGAAGGAAAAAAATGGCATCAGAACATCTCGAATGACAAGTTTCTGAAACTGTGACGGTTTAAGATGTAAAACTTTCCCAGAACCTAGAAACCCCCCCCCCCCACACACACACACACACAGGAACTGGACCCTCACAGACTTTATGCATAGAAACATTTGTGTGCGCAGTAAAATCTGACGCTAATATTTCAAACTGTGTGTAAGTTAAATGGTGTCGACACATTTCTGATGGACTGTGGCTGTAAAGCAGCGGTTCTCAACCTGTTAGTGACCAGAGTGTAAAACCAGAGATTTGGATCATTATTTCCTGTAAATATTATATCAGAGGTGAGCTTTCTGTTGGTTTTAGGAACTTTTAGTACAATCCTCCATCTGTATTGTGTATTTAAGCCAAATATTCCATTGAGTTTTCTTCACAGAATTTGACAAAATGCTGATTATATATAGCTATAGGCCTCCTGTGTATACTTTAAGAGTTCTCTTACACCCAATAACATCAAGAAGGACTGGCGACCCCTAATGGGGGTCCGAATGTCCAGGTTGGGAACCACTGGTGTAAACCGGCAGCTCAGAAAAACACACCAGCAAACACATTGGCCAATTATTTTTACACTGTAAAGTAGTTCCAGTTCTTTAATAACTAAATTTAAGGAATTATTATAAAAATGTTTGTGTTCAGCCGACATTGTTATTAAAGTAAATATTAATATTGGCCTCTAAAATGTAACATCAGTTTGGCTCTAGTTGAAGATTTCAGCATTAGTTGTACAGTTGCATTGTGGGAATAATAAATCTGATTGTTTAATGAGGAGTTTTAAGGTGGATCTTCCATTTGAGTTATTTTGGAGGTAAATTCACAAACTGAATTGATGTCATTGAAACTGAATGGACCCAAACACCTGCTCACATGGAACTTATCACCATATTCAAAAATAACTCATAATAGCATAATAATAATAATAATAATAATAATAATAATAATAATAATAGTATAATGGATTCAGTGCCCATTATATTCGACGTCATTCAGACTTTCAACAGATCACTTGGAAAAAAAATACAAAAAACGTTAAAACGTCAACGTGGAATTCGTTCCAGCACTGATTTTTTTGATTTAAAAACAAAAACTTAGAAAACAGAATGGCACTAATTTGAGCTGTCTATTCACAAAAAAACCTTTTCTTTTCAGAACAAAATGTTTTCATTGTTGGATTTGGGGAGAGGACGTTCCCTTGAGAAAAAGCTCTGATGGTCCATTATTCTGAAAAAAGTTTATTTTAATGAGAAATCCATGCGAGGTCTCACCTCTTAGAAAGGGTTGATTTATTTTTTTTCATCCTTTATACAAAGTTTACCGTAAAACATTGATTTTTTTTTTCTTTTTGTAAGAAAAATGACACAAAAAGGCCAAAATAAAAGCCCTGTCATTCTCACCAAAGTAAAAGCCTTGTTATTTGTACAGGAGCAGAGCTGGAACTTACTCTCGTGGCGGCGAGAGGAGGCGTCGTCCCCGGTGCGTTCGTTGGTCCCCACAGTTCATTGGCAGAAAACAAACTACATCCTGATGCTTTGTCCGTTGATTCAGCTCCATCCTCTCAGTGCTTCTCAGCTGCATCAGGACCCAAAGTTCATCTCCAAAAGGCACAGAACCCGTGTTTTTTAGTGATCCATCTGAGCTGCGACTGTCTGTCCGAGCATCCGTCTGCGGCCGTCTTTGGGTCCCGAGCCGCCAGCTGAGAAACACTGACACATATCGTCCTCCAAGTCGTCTCCACGGTGGGGGAAGAAACGTTAATGCTGAGGGATAAAAGACATCAACATCCAATTAGGGCGGATTACCTGCACAATTATCTGGGATTTATAGATCATCAGCATTGATTAGTTACAGAAGGACAGGAAGGTGCTCGTGGGGGTTCAGGTGTGAGAAAAATAAGAACTTGGCAACATTTTGAAAAGATAAAAATGATCAAATCATAAAAGATTAATAATCTGACCGGATGTTTGAGACTACAGACACATGTTGGTTGGTACGAGTAGGGCTGCTGATCATGTTCAGGATTAATGTTTTCTATTAAAGCCTGTTTAAAAACTCGCATTTATCTGGTTGTCATTTCTGGTGCAAAGTCAAACTAGTACAACACACCTGTGGTCAAACACTCGATGTCCTAGGTTACGCTGCCACCTGGTGGAGATACCGATGCACTAACACCAATATAATAAAAACATAGTACACCCGTAATAGGAAACACCAGCTGCTATAAAAACGATCCGGATCGGAGGGAAAAAAAACTTCCTGTTAGGTTTAATGTTTCAGTTTCTTGCATCTTTTTTTCAATCTTTTGTGAAGCATAAAGTTTTGTATGTAACTTTTGTTCACCTGCAGTTGAGTGAACACAAACACAGGATATTGTGGATTAGGTCTGCACAGTTATTCAATTATCTATTGCTACTATAATTGTGCACTGACAGATCACAGAATAGCGGAGGCAGCACAGCAGACTGTAACTACAACCGTCCGGGGGATCAACAAAGTATTTCTGATTCTTATTTCTATCTTTCTGTGAGCAACCGTGATCTGATTTTATGCTGTGAGTCTGTGAACAGCGACAGTGTAACTAACTCTGGTTACCTGGCTGTGAGTTTGAAGGTGCCCGTGGTCACTGTGGCTGTCCCATCACTTCCTGACATATTTAGAAGTGTTAAATGCTTTTATTGTGAAACCACAGCAGTAGGAAGTGTTTCCGTTAGCAGTAACTCAATCCACGCTCACCTGTCTGCTCATGTCTGCTCCTCTGCCTGAGGCTGTGATTGGCTGACACCTTCAGATTCCTCCTGGATCACTTCGTCATTGTTGTCGTCGTCCTCGGCTTCCTCCTCCTCTTCCTCCTTCTCCTCCTCTTCTTCATCCTCGTTGCAGTCGTCGTCAGTGGCCTCCTCTCCTTGTTCTTTCACCTCCATCTCCCCCTCGCTGTCTGCGTGCTCCGCAGCCGCTTCCTCCTCCTCTTCTTCTTCCTCCTCCTCCTCCTCGTCCTCTTCCTCTTCCTCCCCCTCCTCTCCCTCGGCCTCCTCATCGCTGAAAGGCTCCTTGCCCTCCTCCACCCTCCTGGCGGTCTCAGAGAACCAGTCCCTGACCTGCTCGTAGCTCATGCTGGACTTGGTCACCAGGTCGTCCAGGTCTTTCTCGCTCAGGGCTCGGTGTTTGAGGTAGTAGTCCTTCAGAAACGACTTACCGGACTTCACCTGCGGGACGGACAGATGGACAATCACAGCACACTTTACATTAAAGAGGGCCAACGTTTGTTTGATTTGGTTTGTTGGTCTAATTTAAGGTTGTATTGTATTTACTAGGGATGGCAGTACCACTTTCTTTATCCAATACCAGTCCGGATACATCTTGATCAACCTAGCCATCTGAAAACGTCAAACTGTGAAACATTATACACCCATGTAGGAAGTAATAGTCTAGACTAATGGATCGTATCAGATAATACTACATTATATATATATATATATTTTACCTCTGATATCTTATACAGTGAGTCGGGCTGGTATCCCCTAGTATTTACACAAGGTTTGTTAAGTATTAAGGTCTCAGTGTGCCTTTAAGAAATGTCTGCAGGCAGCCTCGTCGATGTCAGCGCTCGCCTTGTGAGTTTTGGGAATACATGAGAGAAAGTATAGTCTAAAACCGTCACTGGCTGGTGTATATGTGTGTGTATATATATGTATATTGTTATAATAGATAGAATAATGCATCTGAAACACTGTACCATGCTCTCCCTTTGAACAACAGCAGCTGAGTGTATGCTGCACACTGACCTTGATGGCAGTGGCGCCCCCCATTGGGGATCGTTTGCAGGGATAAGGCCGGCGTGTCCTCCTGGACCAACCACGGAAACGCTTTCTGGACTTCTTCTGGCTCTTGGCTCCACCGTTCAGCGCCTCGTCCACCTTCGTTAAAACATATAATTATAATCCCCAATTAAACAGCTCAGCCTCAGAATGACTCAGTTTACTGTCAGTAAACTCTTTTACTTTCCCACGTTTGAGAAACAACAGCGTCTGATGAAGCATTGAATTTGAATAATTGGCTCCATTGTTATATAATGTTAAGTATTAATATGATTTACTAATGTTTTAATTGTTTGGTGTGTACAAGCTTTATCAGTAAAGTAACTAAAGTGTTACTAAAGTACCTAAAAATTATACTTAAGTAAATGTGCTTAACTAGCTAACTAGGAAGCTTCTCTCAAATATTTATGATCTGTATGGTTTTCCTCCTTTACCTTCCCACTCTGGTAGAGGTAGTACCACTTCAGGTTGCTGTTCTTGCAGGCGTAACGTGTGTCTCCGAACCAGTTGACGATGTACGTCCTCGGCAGACCGCTCTCGTCCGCCATCTGGTCGTACTCCTCGGTGGTGGGCCACTGCGTGCGGACGAAGGCCTTCTTCAGGATGTGGAGCTGCTCCGGCGTCTTCTTCATCGCCTTCCTGCTGGCGGGTGGAGTGGTCTGCCGCTCCTGAGCCGATGACGAAGGCGCAGAGGCCGGTTTCATCTTCTCGCCGTCCCCCTCGATGTCCTCGTCCTTCGACTGTGCTGCTGAAGGCATTTTCCGCCTCTCGGTGAACCAAGCGTCCACCTCGCGCCGCGTCAGCTTCGTCTCGGCGCGCAGCCGGCTCAGCTCCTCGTCCGACGGCGTGTCTGATTTCTGGAAGCTGGCCTCCAGGATGAGCAGCTGCTCTGGAGTCTTTTCCTTGAACTTCTGTGGCGTGAAGTCAGGGAAGGCGTGGCGGAATTTGACCCGCGGGTCGCTGGAGGAGCCGGACGAGCCCGGAGCGTTGGCAGAAGTTGGGGAGCAGTCGCTGGCGTCGTCACTGGAGTCGATGACGATGGTGGTGTTGATATCGCTGTTGTTGCTGTCATTAAGGCTGCCACTGTTGTTCCTTGCTCCCCGGCCTGCTCCTGGCGCCGCCACTCTGCTGGGCGGCGTTTCGCTCAGCACGACACCGTGGTGATCCTTCGAGTTCCTCTGGTTGTAGCGCGTGTCGCTGAACCACTTCTTTATTGCTCGTTTGGAGAGTTTGGTGACCTGCATGAGTCGTGATATCTCCGCCTCGGTGGCGAACTGCCTCCTGCCGTAGCTCGCTTTCAGCTCCGCCAGCTGCTCCTTCGACTTCTTCGGCTTGGTCGCCGACGCGTCCAAAGTGAGCGCTGTGCCGGCCGACATCTCTGTCTTCGATTCTGACGTCGACGGTTCAGCGGCTTTGGGCTGGTTGCCGGGGACGCCGGCGACCGTCAGGGTGATGGGAGAGGCGACTGGCACGGTGCTGCCGTTGCCGGAAACCTGAGTGAGGACGAGGCCCGGCTGGCCAACGATCTGGCAGGTCTGGAAGATGGACTGCAGGCCGTTGGTGGCGGCGGCGATGTTGGCAGGGATAACGGTGATGGTCTGAGGGACGGTCTGCACCGTGCCGTTAAACTTCTTCCTCCTCGCCTCCTCCACCTGCAGAGAGAAGGAACGGAGAGTAAACCGTTACTCTATGTTTCAACTTAACGGGGTACAAACAAACCAAGCTGCTCTATAACTGGACAGAATAACTGGCTGTGTTGTGACACTGTAAAATGAGACGAGGATGAACTGATAGTACAAATGTATTATATATCCAAACAGTCTGCTTGAAATATTAATGTCAAAACAGTATAATTTTCATATTAAATTCCTTTAAAAAAGTTAATCTACTGCTTCTACCTAACTAAAATTCCACAATCTATGGACACAAGACGTCTCCTTCTTAATGATTAATATACCTACTGTATGTACTGATGTATTGCTCTATATTTTTAATGCAGTAATGTTATAAATTAGGTAAATGACACCCAAATTTAAAATAAAATAACTAACCAAATACACTTTGCTGAACCAGAGTGACTTGATACCAGTTTTTATCCCTCAAAGTAAACCAAACTAAATTCAACTGGAGGCACAAGATGGAAAAAAGCTCTAATAAAAAACGAAATCATCAACATAAAGAAAACTGTGAAGAGACGAGCTGAAAAGCAATGAAAGCAGAAAACACCACTTAAAAAAAAAGGTCACTTAATCAATAAAGGAAGTCTATAAAAATTACTTTTATGAAGCGATCTGATAAACGACACAGCTTTCGGCCAACTGCGTTTTAAAAATGTTGTAATCCGACTCTTGAGGGATTAAAAAGGTCTTTGATACAATCTTATTTTACTGGATGATCCATAAAATGTATTTCAGAACACACTTTACATCTGAAGCCAACACGACTGGACCAGGATTTAAAACACAAAAACAAATGTTAATAACTTCCTTTCACTGCTGTCTGACACTAATCATTCAAACAGAGTCACCTGTGTGCTCCCATGTGTCTGGTATATATGTGTATATGAGGAAATAAATGTGACTCCACACGTCTTTTCTCACATTCACAGCAATGAGAACAACAATCAGACGCTCGCCCGCGTGAGCAACAGAAGTGTTAAAAAAACGCCGCCTAAAAACAGGCTGCGGATGTGAAGCACAGACCTCCTCCGGCGTCCAGCTGACTCCGTGTTTCAGCCTCTGAGCAGAAAACCAGACTTTAATCTGCTCCTCGCTGAACTTGGTCTGCGAAGACAAGCCCATGATCTCCGACACCGACGGGTATGGAAACCTACGGCAGAATCAGAGTCAGTCAGGGAGGTCAATAGTTCACATATAACCAGCCCAGTGCTACACCTGAATGGTTTAACTTAAGTAGGTGGAAAATACGCCTCTATAAGCTTTGGTAGATTAATATAGACTCCAATAAAAGACGTTTTTTTTTTTATATTATTACTTTTAATAAGTTTTAAGTTAAGCAAATAAGGAGATGTATAATTAAATATGTACTACTTTACATATCTTTCTATTTTTGTTTATTGCTTTACTGTAAGCAGCAACTAAAACAGCCGGTAATGGTCGGCTGATTCTGGTTTTAAAAGTGTTTTTTGTTGGAAAACATAATTTTTTTTTCACAACCTTGGCAGCTCTACCAAATCTGGAGATTTTTAGGTTTTGAGTTTAAGAAAAATGTCATTTTGAGACAAATCGAATATTCGTGTCCTGGCCTCAGTGCAACCCGTTCTTCATCAGCAGTTACCACTACAAAACTATTCAACTTCAATACGTCTTTTCAGAAGAAAACGGCAGAATATTTGAGTCTGAGTTGGAATTCACCTACATTACGATACCATGTTATAAATCTGCTGCACTGGGCCGAGCTTGATACACTTTCTTCTCGTCTATCTCTGCAACTTTTTATGGAATCTTTAAAAAACGGCACACATAGCATATTAAATCTTTCATTTTATGAGGAATTTAATGTGAAAAAAGTGTCAAAAATTGGATAAAAAAACAATATTTTGCAAAATCATCAAAAGTATCTGGTACAAGATTTCGACATTTTGCAATTTTGAGAATATTTTTAATTAATTGTAACAATGCCAGATTTAACTTTTAAGAATCTACATGTAAACCCGCCATAATAAAGTCCATAATTGTTAGATAATGTGTATTTATCACTGACTATAATAAAGGCTGTGGCCCCGCCCCCTCCAGGTGCCGTTACCTGTTGTAGGCGCTGACCAGCAGGACGTTGTTGTCCATGGCCGTGTTGTATGTGGGGATGCTGCTGATGGGGATGAGGAGCTGCGTCTGCGTCTGAGCGCTGTTCTGCTGGTTCTGCAGGGCCGACAGAACCTGAGCCAGCGTCCCGGGAGGCAGCACGGCGCCGCCGCCGCCCGAGCCACCTTTAATCTGCAGCACGTTGGGGCTGTTGACCACGATGCTCTGCGGGACGGCCTGGACGTGCATCGGCGCGGAGACGGGGATGAGGCGAGGGGCGAGGGCGGCGGGGGTCATCGGGGCAGGAGACAGCGTGGGCGGCTCCTTGTTCTCGTCGTCCTCGTCCTCGTCGCTCTCCACTTTGATGACGTCGTCGACGGCCATTTTGTGCAAGGCGGCGAACTTCTTGGGCTCCGGTCTGCTCTTGATCCTCATGATGGGCGTCTTGCTGAGGGCGATGCCTTTGCGCGACGTCTCCTCGGCCTCGTCGTCCTCCACTTTGACGAAGCTGCCGTCGAAGGTGAGGTCGTTGACCGTCTGCTGGAAGATGGTCTCGTTGTTTCGCTTCACCATCGTCCGCGTGAAGTTGTCCTCGCCCGGGTGGAGGCGAGCGTTGTGCGCCAGCAGCGTGTCGTAACTGGGAAGGGAAGAAGAACGAAGAGTTGTTGCAACTGAGAGGAAGAAACAGGCTGAGAGCTACAGAGACTAAAGAGCATTCGGTTCATTGTTAATATAAAACTAATGGACACTTTCTATTCACTGAATCAAAAGTATCTCTCCGTGTGTCTCCGTTCGACACCATTATTGTCCTCATCGATTAATCATTTTCTAGATTTATTGATCAATTGTTTGGTCCAGAAAATGGTCCTTAAATGTCTTTTTTTTTGTTCCCAGCCCAAATATATCGAGTTTAATGTCAAAGAGGACTAAAGAAAGCTGAAAATAGTCACACTTGAGAAGCTGAAATCAAAGAATTTTGACCAATTTTCCTAAATTGAAAGTCCCAAAACAGCTGAAAGAGTTCAACACACACAATTAATTTAATAAGTTAGAGTTACTCCACCTCTTGGTGTGGTAGTCGCACTCCATGCAGACGTAGGAGGTGTTGAGGACGACGTCGGGATGCTCCGTGTCCACGTGCATGGTGAACAGGTTGAGCTCCGCCGTCTGGAAGTTGCAGTATTTGCACTCGTAGCCTCCCTCGGCCATGTTGGAGTCCAGATAGTGGTCCGACACCTGCCTGCCGTCCGCGTCCTCGCCCCGCTCCTCCAGCGGACCGGAAACCTCCGAAGAGACGGTCGCCACGCCGTTACTGTCCTCCGGTTCGGCCGCCTCCGCGACGTCCTCCATCTCCTGATCCGAGTCGACGGCTTCTCGAGGAGGAACCATGCAGGGGGTGGTGGATTTCCTCCTGCTCGCCATCCCTGACGTCCGGTGAGCGCTGCGTCTAGCCGAGTATCAAAGCTGTCTCAGTTCAAGCCGTCCTGCTGTGGCTCCATAAAGAAGGATCAGTCAAATGTTTCCTCTGTAATCATTAATCCCTGAAGACGAGAGGGAGACGGAGAATTAGTGTCTGTTAGAGCAGTTCGGTCAAACTCGGCACAAGTTTCTCTTTTAGCTCATTTGGTGCGTTCAAGTGCAAACAGACTACATGAACACCGGGAAATGGGAGTTTCAGTCCTATAACATGTTAAAGCTCAGCTAAAAGAGCTTAAATGGTAAAAATATTAATTTTTTTACATTTATTTAGAGCAGGTTGCCTTCAGAGTTAAGAACAATATCTGTGGGGCTATTAAACATTAACAAAGTACTTAGAAGTCGGGATGGGACGATATTATCTCGTATCATGATCCGGGTGAATTTCCATTATTGTGATAATATCGTGTATTGCGACCTTTTTGGCCAAAATAATCATGACATGAACTTGTATGGATGTATAATATCTCTATGTGTATTTACTATTTTATTTAAGCTATACCATACTCCTGTTTTACCCTATTTGCCCTATTAAATATGAATCACTTATATTAACATTCCCGTGGCTACTTCTCTTATCTGACCCGACCTTATCGAATCTTTTAACAAGATTGAGAAAGACTGTTCTGGCCCTGTAAAGAAGAACCGATAAGATATTAGAATAATTAAGTGATGGCTGCAGCTCTGGACTAACTCATCCACTCTTGTTTAATTCAACTGCTGCCAGTAAAACTCAGCACTAAATGTTTGAAATGTCTTGAATTAAGTGCTTGCACGCTGCAGTTTCAGGCAAATTCACTGCATTAGTTTGGCCACAGCCCATCATTAAGAGTTCAATAAGGTCGAATTTACTTTATTTTAACAGAAAATCCCTCTTTTAGAAAGTTAAAGTGTTCACTGCGCGTACAGTTAACGTCCCCGTGCATGTATTCATCAACCACAGCAACAACAAATGTGATCATTAACAGGCTGTTAGTGTGCGTGTCGATATGATAAATCTCACTCCCAGCTCCGGAAAGATCACAGCGAGTCGGTTCCACTTTGCATCGGGTAAACCTGCTTTTAAAAGTTCAAACTGTTTTGATAACTCTTTCTTTTTAAAACGTCTTCTTCTTGACAGCACTCACTCAGAATATTAAAAATTAAATCAAAAGAAAACACCAACAGGATGTGTTTTTAATGTGGAGCCCTACTTTCCGAAAAGACCTTTTTCACAGCAGGCATTCTGATATGAAATAGTAGGGTAAAGAGGTGACCAGTGATGCTAATTATGTCTCTCCATATGGTCCCACGCCTACTTAAAGAGTACGAATGTGGTGTATAATATCTGTATTCACTATTTTATCTTTAACTTTACCCTACTTCTGTTTTGCCCTACTTCTTTGACCATTTAATTGACAACAATATTGTGTATCACGATTATTTTGGCCACAATAACTGCTCATGTCATCCCACCTGACTCTGTTTGACCTGAATGGAATTTAACCTTAATCAATAACACCTGTGTTTACCCTACTCCTTCATGTCAGAACAGCTGCCGTGAAAAAGGCCCACTGACTCCAGCAGTAACACTAATGTGGCCACAGCACAGGATGAAACCACAGGGCTGATTAGTTCCAGGATATTTTGGCTCATCTTTAAAAATCAATTTCCAGGTGTTTTCCATGGACTGGAAAACCAGATCTCCCAGGTGTTTTCCAGATGTTTTCCAGGTGTTTTCCAGGTGTTTTCCAGGCCCCTGACAGAGCTGTTACCCAGCCATAACGTGACACACACAAACAGAGAGGAACAGGCAAACAGCGGCTGGCTAACGTTAGCTCGGCGGTGTGGCTCGATCCTCCAGCAGTGGCAGCGGGGGCAGGAGGCTGCGTGTGGCCGCGCACAGACACCCGACGGCGGCCACCGCTCGTCGGCGTCGGGGTGGGCGGGTTTACCTGGTGTTACCTGGCATCCTGCGAGGAGATAACGTCAGTGAGTCGGTTAGCTATCGGCCGTAGCTTCGTAGCATCCCTCGGGTCGGGTCTGTTGATACGCAGTCTTCCGCCTTTCGCCCGAATTCACCGAGGATCCCATCTGCTTTCAGCCGGACACGGAGCCGCTCCAACGGTCGGGGACGAGCCCAACTGCCGCCCGTTAGCGCCGCTTCTCAGCTAGCGCCGCCGCGAAACGCGCATCGTCCGCTCCGCCGCTCGGTTTACTGGAAAGGACAGTTTAATAAAAAAGGCACCGATACTTCGCCGAATCTGACGATGGCCATTTTTTTTGTACCGCCGCTACAAGCGAGCGACGGCCGAGAAATACATCCGGATTGAACTTTTCGAAATAAAAGCCTGAACCGAGATAGGGTTTGTAGAGATGGAAAAACAGACGATAAATAATAATAATCGATAAAACAATAATAAGTAATAAATATAATTAAAAAAAAGAATCTCTACAAAAATGCTTTATTGGCTTAAAGTGGCAGAGAACTACAATAATATAAATAATAAACATAAATTGTTGGACTTCGATAGATTGATTGATTGATCGATTGATTGATAGATAGATATACTTTATTTATCCCGAGGGAAATTCAAGCAACCAGTAGCCTACAAGACATACATTAAACATAAAAACAACAATTAAAAATATAACAAATAAAAAATAAAATTAAAGTTAACTTAACACAGTAGCCAAAGTAAACAGTGCAAACTGTTATTATTTATATATAAACACAGAATTATGTTGTTGTTATATTTTTATATTAATTTCATATAAAATAATAAAAAATCTTTAGTTTGAGCCGACATAAAACCATGAAATTTAACTTTAATACATTACACTCCAAATCAGGGCTGCACAAAAAAAAGGTTTTTGTTTGTTTGTTTTGTTTTGTTGTTGTTGTGTCACTCTGTTGATAACACTGGGTGTTTGGATTATATAAAAACAACTGCAAAAACATGTAAACATATACACATATACTTTGTGAAACCATGAATTTAAAACATCATATTACGATTATTGTGACAGATACTGTGATTTGCAATGTGATTCACAATTAGTCACAATTTTCATTTTTACTGATAAAAACTATTGAAATCCTGAAATGATGTGACTTTTTTTTTTTTAGGCCTGTACCAAACAAACATGTTTTCTTACATCTGGAGAACAAGATTTTTAGACTCAGTTTGCCACATTTAACAAATATACAATTAAGGAATGTGACCCACAGCCAAACGACAAATCACAATCTGCTCTGAGCAATAAATCAGATTCAGGGGCTTCACCTGGCTACGGGCTTTTAGTGTGAACAGCCAACCCATAATATTGCTCTGAGGTAAATCAGACTTTCATTTAAAAAAAACCTGTCTGTGTTTATTTGTCTATGTTTATAGTATTCCTATTTATTCTTTGTGTATTATATTTTTGTTTACTTTAATTATTTGTATTACTATTACATACTTACTTTATTTGAAATGACTTTTGTCTAATGGTACAATAAACTGCAATTATATACATTGCTGTCTTTAGTTCAGATTTGACTCTTATACCCACCCTATTCCTATCTTTTCTTATCTTTCTTACATTTATTTATTTATATTTTAAAAAGTACTTTATTCTTGTGTGATTTTTTGTGTGATTGTATATTTTAAGTACCATTGCACCCAGACAAATTCCTCGTATGTGTAAAAATCTTATTCAATCTGATTCTCATTTAGTCCCAAGCACTTTTATTTTGAAGGTATCCGTGTAAAGCGGAAGCGCCCGTCGGGGTACTGAGGTGAGTGTGACAGGTTTATTTGAAGCATGCGTCCTTGCGTCATAGACAGACGACAGGAGTGTGTTCCAACTCTGCACTAACACAAAGTAGGCCAATTCACCGTGTACTCCTGCAGTTATACAATAAGTCCCAGTAACATATTGTACCGACACACTTCCTCCAGTGTTTACTCTTCTCACATTGTGTTTAAAGCTGCAGCAGGACATTTTTATTAACATATTTTTTGTCATATTTGCTGAAACTTTCACTATATCCTGACAGTAGAAGGTGAGACAGATAATCTGTGAAAAGATCAGGTTCCTCCGGCTCCTCTTGGTGCTCCTAATGGCATTCACAAGAATCCACCAGGCCCCGAATGAAAACAACCAATCAGAGACGAGCCTCATTCCCAGGTTGTCAAATACAGACGCTCTGGAAATGAGACTCAACAATCAACATCAAGCAAACCCAAAACGCTACAGCCTCTGAAGGACAGGGTGGAGATTATGGGGGGGGGGGGCTGTTGGTGGCCAGGACCTCCCCAGGCCCCGAACCCTCTGGAAACACCCCTGCACATGTAATGCACCTTGTTCTAATCTAATGTTGTGAAGAGCACAGACCAAACAGAGCCGGCTGCAGATGAGTAGTGTTGCTGCTTCCTCTGGTGCAGCTGTTTGAATTTAACTTTCAACTTAAGGAATCGTTTTCCAGGAGTTTTCCAGGACATTTTCCAGGAGTTTTCCAGGACATTTTCCAGGAGTTTTCTCGACAGTAAAGGACCACACTTTGGTCACAAACGAACATTTATTGACCGGCCTGGTGTTGACAGTTTTATTCCTCCTTTTTTAGCGATTACGGGTTCTGCTCACTGAAAATAGACTCCATACCGAAGAGACTGCTGCGTTTCCATGACTGGAAAACTAGTCTCTAAATTTCCAGGTTTTCCAGGACCCGGATTGAGCTGCTGTTTCCAGATCAGTTACAAACAGCCTGGACTGAAAATAAGAAAGTACTCCAGTCGGCTGAACAGAAAACACAAACAACGGTTTTAATTAATCCTCAGTAACACTTTTATTCAAGTTTACATCATCGAGATAAATTAAAGTTAAATAATACTGCATCATCGTAAAGATTACTCTTTTATTAACTGGCCACATGATAAATACGTTATCATAAATAACAGCTGACAGGATAAATACTGAGGTATTGATATGGATCATAAACATATCAGAATGAGGAGTGAACACCTTCCTGTTTGTATGCACTGAGGTTTTATTTAAATAGACCCGTTACAGGAGATCAGGAGAAGCTGCTGATTTCTTTCTTCATTTCCTGGAAAAAACAAAATGCAGAAAATATCAATTTAAATCAGCAGTCAACAGTTATTCTCTACATACAGACACAGAGTCACATGGTGTCTCTCTCCCTCTGCCTGTGTTGTATCGCAGCCTCTCTGTGGTTTGTTTCCATAGCCGGTCTGCTCCGACTGAAACTGCTGTTTTTATCATCTACGTCGGTGAATTAAGGATTTATTTCCACCAAACCAGAGTTGGTGATTGTTGGAAACACTAACAGAGACGCTTTTAATGAGTTTGATTCTGTTTCTGTCCACTTTGAATGAATGAATGAATGAATTGATGTGAAGGTAAAATGAGTGTTTTTGTCTCTGGAGTCTGGTGGAGAGTGATAGTGATATTACGGCTGTTTGTGGTTAACCTAAAGGTCTCTCTCTGTAGGGATCCTTTCCATAATGCTGTCAGACACTGACAATAACAACCCGAGTCTGTCAGCGGCAGAAACATAACTTTGTTGATATAAAGAAGTCAAAAATCGTCTTTTAATGTCCTCGGTGCATTCTGGGAAGGGCTTGGAGGACTGCAGTGAAAGCAGGTTTAGTGGAACATGTGCTGTGTTTGGGGACAGTCTCGGTGTGGCGGTCGCACCTGAATCATCTGCGTCTTGTTGTATTCGTTTCTGCGTCTGTAGATGCACTGAGCCAGCAGAGCATAAAGCTTCTCCAGCGGCTCCACCTCGGCGCCGTCTGTTTTCACCACGGCTCTGCTGAGGACATCCTGAAAAACACAACAATCACAGCTCTGAACACTGAAACCATTATTACTGTACTACCACCAGGTCGCCACGGTAGCCTGGTGTCAGACCTCTGAATCCAATAGGTTTGGTGTTCTGCTCTACTACCAGTGCTACTGCTGCTAACCAGAACACACCATATACAGAAGGTAACATACAAACACAACCTGGCGGACTCACCCTCAGTTTGCTGTGATCGACTACCAGCGGCGGCGTTCCCTTGTCGAGGATCTCCGCAGACCGGCCCTGGTTGAAGAGCTGGATCTGTTCCAAGGCCGCCTTGTTGGCGCTCGTCTCGGCCCTTTTGCTCTTTTCTGAGGAAGGGAGGAAGACGTGGAGAGGAGGGCGAGGCGGTGATTGTTTATTCTTTCAGAGTGGTCACGACAGGCAGGAAGTGGACGTCACACTGGCCCAGAGGCTTAAGTGCTCTCCACATGAACTTGGCCAGTCTTGTTTTTTAGTTTTTCTAATGGAAGTTTAATTTGATTTATGCAAGGGAGGATGTTTTTGGCCTCATCAGGAGACATAACAGAGACGGTTTGAGAACCTCTGGGTCCACCGATCTGCCTCTAACCCCTGTGTTAGGTTCTGTGTCTGGATGCTTAAAACTTTACTTTCTCCCCCATGTAAAATATTTCTCTAAGCTGAGGAGTTCATTTGCCTCTTAGGTTGTTTCCTTGTCAGAGTGTTGATAGTGTTAATATATGAGACAGAGTTATGTTAACGTTTGGGTAGCTAGCTACAGCGTTGCCAGCGCTCGAAGGAGGGAAGTTTGAGGAGTCGATTTGTAAGTAACGTTATCCATCATCCATCGTATCGATAAGTCCTCAAGTGTTTGTTTTTGTGAAGTGGAGTTTGCTGGTTGTTCCGACAAATTCAGAATCATTACCGCTTTCTTAACAGACGGCTGTTAAAATATATATATTTAAATAGTTGTAATAAATGTAGGACGACTAGTAAAATCCTTAATCTGGGGCAGCTGTATTAGCGTCAATTGGGTTTTTCCCCGTCCCCAAAAAACATCTTCAATCACCATAAATTCAGCCACGGCCTTATGTTACGCTAATGATTTCACTTTAAGGGACGGCTACGGGTCCCTTTGAGGAAAATGGTTACTAAAGCATCATAAAGCATTATGCTGTTTGAGGAAATTGTGCCTTATTGCAAGAGTTTATTTAGCTAATTATTAATCTTAGATTAATTCTTAAATTCAGCTCAATAAAGTTATAAAAATACTTTAAGTCTATCTTAAATCACTGAGTTTTGATTACTTGTAAGCACAACTTGCTTTAAGTTTTCAGGCCCATTCCAGTGTATCAGTGGCTGATTTTTAAGGTAGTTTTCCTTTTTGCTCAATACAAGAACATTTGATTACATTTAAGAATATTTGTCTTGTTTCTAGAAGGGTCGTTTTTACAGTGAGTCTGAGCGTTGTTTTCTGGCGGACTCCAGCAGGTTAAAGAGATCTTAA